GGGGGGCGGGGAAGAAAGCCCCCACTCCCAAGCCGAGAAAAGCTTACCGTTATGGCCATCTAACTCAGTAATTTGGAGAGCAAGTACGAGCAGTGCTAGGGAAAGCCAGGGCTCCTGCAGCGTGCGCTCCCGAAGCACGCCGAGTGAGCGGAGCAAGGGGAAGCCAGGCGCTGCTCCGCTGCGATTTCCAGCCATTATCCCCCATCGGGAAATTTCCCGATGAGAAATAGCACGTCTTAATTTCGGGGGGGGGGGCGCCGAATGGCGGAACGTGCCCCCGAATGGCTTTGATTTAGGAGGGAAGAAAAGTGGCACGTTTCGAGATGCTGCTTGAACGTGCCCCTGTTTTTCCAGCCCTGGCTGATCCTCAAGAGCCACAAGACGACCCCGAGAGCTGGTTTATACCCACAGCTCGAGTGTGTTTTATGTGTCTGTCTTCCTTAAACAGGCCGGGCGTGCGCTTCCGCACACTCTGCTTATTAAGAGCAACGTTTAAATGCATACAGCGAATTCCTGATCTTTCATCGTCTTAAGTACGGATGGAAATACATTTAAAACCAAAGCTTTGTATCCAGGGATGACAGGCCGGGAGAACAACCTCCGCCGGCCCTGAGCCGTGCGTTTAGTGCCTGGAAGGGTGGAGGGTTGAGGGGGGAGCCGGAGAGAGGCGGCTGCGGGCAATGCCCGCTCCCCCGCCGGCTGCAGTGGGGCATTTGGTGCCAGGCGCGGGGAGGGGGACTGCCCGGCGACACACAGTCCCGCACTACCCTAACTTCCCTTTCCCTCGGGATCTGCCTGTGGAAGAAGGGGAGGGGGAGTCCTTGTCCTCCCCCCCCCTTCCTTCCCCCCTTTCCTCCCCTTCCCCCCGGCTGGTGGTTTCCAGTTAGCTTTACTGGGAAGGCGGGGAACCCAATCTGCACGGCATCTTACATTCTGGGGACAGCAAAACCCGGGAAAGGCAACCCTTGGTGCATGTTGGACCCGATGCGTAAGGGGGGATCCGCGTCCGAGGTCCCGGGGCTTGAAATAAAGGTGGGCACTGAACAGGGCATTTAAGAGGCCCCCTCCCCACCCGCCGTCCTCTGCTCCCGAGGCAGTGGGAGCCGCATCGCCCACGGTTCTCCACAGCCGCCCCCAGCAGCGGCTGTCGCCGCGGGTCCAGCGCACCGGGCCGCCTGGGCCGCCGTGGCCGGTACCGAGGCATCACCCCCGTAAGGATCAAGGGAGTTTACTTCTTCCAGCCCGCGGTGGCTCGGGGCGGGGGGGGGATTGAGGGGGGGACAGGCCTGAGAGGCCTTCAGCATGCCTGGTTAGGCCCATGGGTAGCTGCAGCCAGCGTGATCATTAATGTTGTCCAGCTATAAAACTGGCTTCCAACTCTGTCTAGACTGGAGGCGAAGAGAGAGAGAGAGAGCGGGCTGTGTTTTTTAAAAACTCCGGTGGATGGCTTCCCCCACCCGCTTCATTTCCAGAGAGAGCTGGCAAAGAGTTGAGGCAAAGTTCGAGACCCTCACCGAGGTGCCTGGTCCCTGTGCTTCGACGGGGGTTTGTCAGGGGGTTCAGACAGGTCTCCCCCTGCTCACCCAGGCCAGGCTTTTCCCGAAGATGCACGTTTTGTGCTGAACTCGCTGATCCCTCCGCGGAGGCGCCCGATCAGCCTCAAAGAAGTGAGAGTGAGAGGAGATTTATAGTCCAACTCCTTTCTCCTCTCAAAGCCCAAGCCCGGCAAGGCACAATTTCGTGCTCCGATACCACAGGTTTTGCCGTGCGGTTTCGCTCTGACCTTCAGATTCATGAATTAAAGTCCAGGAGACGGCAACCTACAGCCTCCCCCGCGCTCCCTCTCTGTAAGATTGTCTTCTCTTGTGTTTTGACCTTTTGCCAAGGCACTTATTACTGTAGAACAAAAATACACCACGGGACTTCTCCTGTCTTGGCTGTCGGTATTTTTTATTATTTTTTTATTTTTCAAAAAAAAAAAAAAAAAGGAAGAGCAAATCAAAGAAAGAGACGCGAGAATAAACCGCTTTTAGAAACAGCGATTCTCTGCCCCCCCGGTTACGGCAGACTGTTTAAATTGTGGCTCTCTCCTTCCCCCATTCCCGACACAGTTTCCAAAACTGACTGTAAGGCTGCACATTTATGGATATTTAAACCGAATGGAAAGGAGCTAATTAATAAGTGAGCTGAATGTGCGCTATACAAAATAATCTGAATAAAATGGCTCAGCGGTAGACCTGTTCCTCATTCAGAGACGCAGACAATAGAGATTACGGGGAACATACAGTGTCCTCGGTCCCTGTTTAAGCCTGAATGTATATTCGAAGAAAACGAAGGCGAATTGCAGCCGTTTCATCTAATTTTCACACGCACTCAGAAGAGGTTCATTAATTAATTAAATAAATAAATAAACAAACCCCGAGCCGGCGGCGTGAGTAATCCCTCTTCGAAACCGTTCCTCTATTGTACTAACCGCTAATAGTGGCATTAAAGGTCTTACTAAAACAAAAGTGCCATTAGGGCTTCCCCGGCGCTGCGCGGCCGTTCCCGGGCGGCGGGAGCCGGCGGCCGCTCGGTGAAGGGGACGGGAGGCGGCGGAGGGGTCGCTGCGGCCTGTCCCGCCGGGCGGGGAGGGAAGGCGGGAGGGGGTCACTGCCACCGGAGCGGTGCCCCTGCCCGAGACCTCGCTCTTTGTCCTGCGCCCGCTTTCGGGCCTGTGAGCACGATCTGGTGGTTCTGGGCTCGCCGGGAACAGCCGGGTTTGGGTTTGACTGCCTGCCCTGAAGGGCGTTTTTGTTGTTTGGGTTTTACTTGTCTGGGACTTCACCTTTTTTTCTTTATTTTTTTCTCCTTTTTTGTCTTTTTTTTTTTTTTTTTTTTCTCCTTTTTTTTCTTTTTTTTTTTTTTTTTGTCTTTTTTACTAAAGACTCGATCTTTACATCCGTCTCTCCCATCTCCCAGCCCTCGGCCGCCTTTCCAGCCGGTGACGCTGAAGCCTGCAGAGAGGCGGGAGCGCCGGTAAATCCCCGCCGAGCTAACCTAAGCTGTTAACCTAACGCAGCCCTGCTCCTTCCCAAAGCCACCGACCCCTGCGTGGGAGCCTCCCCCGCCGAGCAGAGGTTACCCTCGCCGGTACCGGGGGCTCCCCATCCACTCCACGCCCGTCCCGGCCCCTCGGACGCTCCTGTCAAGCGGTGCCACCTTCTGTGTCCCCGGGGCTGAGACACCTGCCCCCCGCCGCTGCAGAAGGGGCTTAGGGCGAGCTGTCAGCTCTGCCCCTCGCCCCGCTGTCACACGGGCCGACAGGCCCCCCCCCCCCTCCCCCCCCCCCCCCCCCTTTAGTAGCCACCAGGCGCTGGAGAGAGCCCAGGTGGCCACCGAGGAGCTGGAGGAAGCCAAAGCGGTGGCCCAGGAGCTGCGGGAGAGGAACCGGGAGCTGCGGCGCCAACGGGGGCTCCTGGTGAGGAGGAGGAGGAGGAGGAGGAAGGCTGGCCTTCATCCCCCCCCCCCCCCCCCCCCCCCGTGTGAGGGATGGCTATTGAATAACGCGGGGGGGGACACGACCGTGATCTCCGGGGGAGCCGGGGAACAATGCAGTAGACACAAAGGAAATACTCCAAGTTACAGGGCAATCCGATACTTAACATAATACATCGCAGTGTAATTCTTTTAGCAGAATCCTAAGCAGAAAGGCTACCGGGCTTTCGAACGTGTGTGTGTGTGTACGAATTGATATATTTGGAGA